GGTATGTCTTTTGGCATCCATCCAAAGATTGGCCTCAAAATCTGGACAAAAGAATGCTGTTTCCATTTGCTTGTTCTACTTGCACACAGAATGTCTTCCTACAGCATCTCCTTCCAGCCCACTGCCATGTTCCACAAGTGAGTAACCTTCATTCCAGATTAATTTGCTCTGCGGCATTTATCAACCTCCTGAACATTGATGGGACCTTTCTTTCTAGCAGGCATGTGGTAGAATAGTTGGTTCAGGCACTCTGCTACGAACTGGAATGTCTCGGGTTTTGTTCCCAATGAGGTCACTGGATTTTTCAGTTGACCTAAACCTTCCAGCCACACTATGGTCAGGGGGATCACCCTGCCTCTTAAGGGAAATGAGTAGCAGGAATCTTCCTGGGGGCAAAGAGTGGCCGTCACACAAGGCTGACAACCTCAATGCCATCTGTGAACCTGATGTCTACAAAATGTGTGAGCCTCGATGTCTAACGAGTCAAGCAATTCATTTGACATTACAAATCACACACAAAGACAGGTAAACCTAAAATTAAGAAGGAAAAAAAAAAGATTTCAATGTAGGATTTTGGACTTCGTCTATGAGCATAATGGGTGCCAAGAAGTACACGTGGGTTTTGTCTTGTACAATGTAGTACTCTGGAAGCCAGTCCCCTAGGGCACTTGTAACATTTCACCAGTGCTTCAGAACCCACCTACATGTATTACTGGTGCAACAGGCGCATTTGAGGTTACAGCATCAACAGACTCGCCTCACTTCTGCAAAGAACTATGCAGCATATTAACACTCCACCTGCAAAATGTGTATTCTGTGGAGGTGCAAATCTGGCTAATTACAGCGGATGTGAATATTATCACAGTTTACTGAAACAACCAAATAATACTAACAATAGACTAAACATTCAACACAATGCACTAACCCAAAGTCAACCAGCGCAGTTACAACCAGGAATCAGTTATTCAGAAGCCCTTAAAGGGAAGAGAAACCAAGAACGAAACATCACATACCCAGGAGAAGCAAGGGAAAATACTAACAACCCAAATACAACTAATTTGTTAACCAAATTTCTTGAAGAATTTAAAGCAATGTTCCAACTACCCACCCAACAAAACAGAATGATATTAAACATGCTATCAACATTAATATCTAAAATCCATTAAATTCCTTAGAATTGCACTATGGAACGCCAACGCCCTTCTGCAGCAAAAAGATGAACTAGAGATATTCCTTTAACACAACTTCATAGACATACTGCTGATAAGTGAAACTCATTTCACTGATAGATCCTACTTCAATATACCGAAGTACATAACATACTCTACTAATCATCCCGACACTACAGCACATGGAGGAACTGCAATATTAATAAGATCTATTAACCATTATGAGCTACCAAAGTACAAATTAAATCACCTACAGGCCACAGTGATGAAAGTAAAGATGACCCAATACGAGTTAACTCTTACTGCAGTTTATTGTCCACCAAAACATATCATCAAAAAAGAGAATTTTAATGATTTCTTTCAAACGCTGGGACACAAATTTGTAGCAGGCGGAGATTATAATAGCAAGAACACCTTATGGGGATCTCGCCTAAAAACGACCAGAGGCAGAGAATTATCAAAAACATTACAACAGCAAAAATATTCGCACTTGTCAACTGGCACGCCAACATACTGGGCAACAGATCCCAACAAAACCCCTGACCTCTTGGACTTCTTTGTTACTAATGGAATTTCTTCAGACTCCACGGATGTGGTACCCAGTTTCGATCTCTCTTCAGATCACACACCAATTATAGCCACTGTCAGTAGTCATGCTATTCACAAAACACCAAGAAGTAAAATGCACAAAAAAAAAAACTGGGGAGAATACAGGATGAAACTTCAAGAAGATATAAATCTAAACGTGAGACTCAAGAGCCCAATGGAAATCGACAGCACGCTAACCTCTCTGATCAACACTATAAAACAGGCCACCCAAGATGCTACACCTAAGATCACTTCCAAAATAACACAAGGAATGTTCCAATTGAAATTAAAAACTCATAGCTGAGAAAAGAAGAGCAAGGTGGCATAGAAGTCAAGCACTGATAGATAAAACAACATAGAACCATATAATTAATGGGCTGAAGTGTAAAATTAAAGAGGCAAGAGAAAGATCCTTCTCTAACTATATGACCAGCCTCAACAGATATGACAATACCTTCTGGAAACCCATCAAACATTTCAAAAAACCCAAGACACAGACACATCCTATAAGAAATGAAATGGCGCTGCAAACATTGTGGGCAAGAAGTGATGAAGAAAAAGGAGGTATGTTGGCTGAATATCTTGCTACAGTTTTTACACCATATGATGACCAGATTGATAAAGAAATAGACAAATATCTGAAAATATCAGCATTACACCAGAAATAAAATTTTTTAGTTAAAAAAGTGCAAAACGAAATAGCACTCATAAATAAAAGAAAAGCACCTGGCATTGACAAAGTGACTCCAATAATGTTAAAAGAAATGTCAAGAAAATGGTTAGTACTTCTCACATATATATTTAATGCTATTCTCAAACATAAATACTGGCCAAATAACCTAAAAACAGCAGAAATAATCCTGATCCTCAAACCAGGCAAAAATCCTAATAGTATATCATCCTATCATCCTACAAGTTTATTACCCATCATATCTAAGCTCCTCGAAAGACTTCTCTTAAAAAGAGTAAGGTCTGATCCAAATACAGAAGAATGGATACCATCACATCAATTTGGTTTTAGAGAAAACCACTTCACTGTACAGCAGATACATAGAATAACACAAAAAATACACCAAGCAATAGAAAATAAAGAATACTGCACATCATTCTTCCTAGATGCAAGTCAAGCCTTTGATAAGGTATGGTATCCAGGACTACAGTACAAAATCAAAAAATACCTGCCCATCACTTATTTCCACTTACTAAAATCCTATATAAGTGGCAGAGAGTTCAGAATGAGAATCAATGATAGCATATCCAACAAGTTTGCAATAAAATCAGGCATACCACAAGGCAGTGTCTTAGGCCCACTACTGTATTTACTGTATACAGCAGACCTACCAGTCAATGCCAACACAACAGTGGGCACATTTGCGGATGATACCGTGATCCTCTCGACCAACACAGATCCAGCAATATCTACCTTCACTTTGCAAAATCATCTAAATCAAATACAAGAGTTGACAAATACATGGAAAATAAAAATCAACGAAACCAAGTCAGTGCAAGTAAACTTCAGTCTAAGAAGAGAACAATGTCCTGCAGTTTTCTTTAATAACATACAAATCCCTAATCACCCAGCACAAAATACTTAGGTATTCATCTAGACAACCATCTAACCTGGAAGGAACACATTACTAAAAAACGCAAACAGACTGATTTAAAAATCAAGGATATGCCTTGGTTAATTGGAAGAAAGTCCAAACTCTCATTAGACAACAAGGTTTTGCTTTACAAAACAATAATAAAACCAATTTGGGTATATGGAGTGGAAATATGGGGATGCTCTAGCAAAACCAATATTTCCATAATCCAGAGATGTCAATCAAAGATATTACATATGATTACAAGTATGTTTCCAATATAACACTCCATGAAGACCTGAAAGTGCAGCTAGTGAAGGAAGTTATAAAAGAGAAGAGCATAAGATACTTGAACAAAATAGGAGGACATGAGAACGTACTAATGCAACCATTACTGGAACCACACAATGAACGAAGACTGAAAAGGAACTGGCCAGCCAACCTGAGAGAGGGTTAACGAGGACTTATCTCTGGATAAGCCCTCTCCACGTCACGAAGAATACTACAGCAAATTAGCTTATAGAATCAAATGTAATTCTGACTGCTAATTTTACATAAATTTTAACACTCGCATCCTGTGGTATAAAGGCAATATGGGACACTGCCAAAGATGTCTGAAATTCTTAAAAATCATGTCTTGAAGATGGAAACTGTGATAGTCAGATGCAGTGTTAGGGACTGAACATATTTTGCAGAGAGTAACCTCCAACAGTATGTGCACAACCTTCGGTCTGTTGGTCCACCTACATATTCCATCTTCTTGTCATGCACTGTTTGTACATTTCTGACTGCGCCAATAAACACAATAAATGTGAATCCGTGCAGTTGAGGATTTTTTACTCAGTTTTACTAAAAGTGCTCAGTGAGCAGTACTTATGAAACAACTCTGTTTAATGACAAAAGCTTATTTGCTCTAAGTGGTGTATTTATAACCAATAACTGACAAAATTATGTGAACATGCTTATTAGCCATCAATGGCAAACATACATAAATTTTGCCACAAACATCAAGCAAATCATATTTCAATTATAAACACTTTAGTAGGAGAAGGAATGGTGCATATGAGAAGCCACCACAGGATCAGTATGTGGAGGAATGAGAGGTTGGAGACTGAAAAGAGGCTAATAAAAACAATGAATAAAGGATCTGCCACATATACAGCGAGGTGTGAACAGGGCTGGAAATGGGAGTGTTACATCATGCACGTCCGGAGCACAGTGTTATAATGAAGACACCTTGTTTGCCCACCCCTACTGGCACCAATGTGTCCCCTCCCCATCCGTATGTATGACACTATCAAACTCATATGGCAAACCAATACAGACATTGTTTAGAACAGATGGTGTCAAAGGGAATGACTGAGGTCACACATGCACAGGACTTGGGCCTGTAGGAAGGGATTTCTGAGGAGACTGCAAGTCAATTAATGTCAATCCTAAGGTTTTTAACAAATCAAACACACAATCAACTGGCAACAAAGATTCAAAACGACTGTGACGTAACATAGAATACTGAACATTCCTACTGATAATTCGTAGTATAATGAGCTGCTAAGTATTCCCAGCAACTCAAGCAGATCTGGCTATACTGTAACACTGTAGCTCCACCCCTTTCAAATGTACTCATATTCTTACTGGAATGCCAAACAGAATTGTGTAGTTCAAGCAAAACTGTTACAATTTTATTTCAACACAGCTGAAGCAACATAAAGGTACAATGTGACACAAACACAGGTGGCTTCATGGATGTAAATGAAACTCAGAAACCCAAGCATGTACAAAAAGATTTATTCAGTCGATTTGTTACACAGAAAGGTATACTATGAGTATCAAAAACAGGCATTTTTACACTCACATTACATGCTCTGTGGAAGTGTTAGATGGCACTAGAGCTGAATTTGCCAAATCCATAGAATAACCACCAAATTCTTCATATTCAAATCCATTAGATTACCACATTCATAACATAGCTAGTATACAAAACCAGAGACAACACTTTCAGTCCCTGGATTTACTGCAAGAACTGAAAATGTATGATATCTCATGTCACTAAAACAGTCATCAACCAAGAGAAAAGACATGTTCCAAGTTTAATAAAAAAAATGGTGACCATATCAAACAATGATTCTGATAAAAGTGTGACCGAATTATAAAAGTGTAATTTTAACATTCAAATTGGAAAATAATTTTTCTGTGTAACAAAACCACCAAACTAAATCTTTTTATACACACCTTCAGACACAGGCATGTTCTACACAGCTTACATGAGATTCGTTCAAATTCATAGATGTTCACTTTTAACGTTCTTTTTAAAAAGAGTCATCTTTTCCTGCACCACTTGTAAGTATACGCACCAAATCTGAGAGAAACAACAAAATTTGTAAATGCTGTTCATGACAAATTTTATAAGGAAACTTGGTAACGCAAACCAAGAACAAAGCACCGTCTGAATAATTAAAAATTCATCTACCTTACAGGAACTGACCACCTCACATACAAATAAGAGCAGTCACACCTAAGGGAGGAAATAATTGTACCAGTCGAGACAAATTATAATTGAAACATGATATAATTGTACTGTTTCAATTGAAAACCATTTACAACAGTTATACTGTAAGGAGTAAAATTCTACACTTTCATCCAATTTCAAATTGCATATTACAAGAAATTTAGGTGCTCTTAGTGTGAATGTGATTTCTACACATGCATAGATCCCTCTCAAATGCTGGGCAATTAAGGAAAAACTCAGATGTAAAATTTACAGAGACAGTTATATTAAACCTGAGAATATATGTTTCAAAATTGACAACCTGATATTTAAATTGCCTAAGATAATGCCATGAAGTATTTTGCTTTCCCCTCCCCTTCCCTCATTGATTTGAGCATGTGAAAATCCAAGGGGGAGGTGCACGAGGCCAGCGAGAGATTTGGTGCGCAACAAAAGCACTGATTATACAAAAAGCTGTGAAGAGATATATTTCGAGGCGTCTATGGTTCTAGTGACGGGAATCCCCCCCCCCCCAAGTAATCAATACAATCAATCAACTTACTAATTAAATTGTCATAATGAAACAAGAGACCTATACAATAAAAAAGAAAGGAAAAAAAAAAAAAGGAAAATATATTCCTTCTCGAAGACGGAATGAAAGCAGTAAAGTGGAATATCCCTAGTACCTTTTGTTGGTAATTGGTAATTATATATTATTCAATGTGTCCTGTTAATTTTTATTAACGGCTTCCCTAATGCAATGTACTTTCATTTAAACTTTCCTTTACTAGTAGAGACAAGTGAAATGCTAAGTGATTAACAGGTGCCACATGAAGGCACTGAAAGTTACTCAGCATGTGCAAGTATAGCAGCAATGAATTATACAGCTCTCAACTTCTTATACACAGTACAACGTAACCCACCAGTGGGTACGTTAAATTACAATGGATATACATAATTCCAATACTGGTAAAGTTGTGGAAATAAATTTCTTCATTCATCAAATACATAAGTGGGGTCCACAGCTGTTGTGAATATCTGCTAGTAAACAATTCTTATTACAATAATAATTTATTCTACATCCATGTTCTCGTCACTTTGCTGTTCCTGTTTAGGACTGTCGTCTTCCTGCGCATCTTTCTTTTCTGCTGTGTTGCCATTTTCCTTGTTGACAGGTGGAGGTGGATCTGCCTTTGGTTTCGGCTTCGTCAAAATTGGGTTTACGACATTTTCAAAATTCTAAAATGAGAATAAATACATGGTATGGTTATTTGATGAATAATGTTGGTACATTCACATCGTGATCTCTATTACGAGTCTGTGTGGACTGACAAAAGGTTACAAACAGTCTGAAGGAACATATTACCTCCACCTTCAGGGTACCCCAAAGATGAAATCAGCCTTCTCCTCCAAAACTTTGGTAAAAACCACTGAACAAAACGGTCTCATAACCCAGAAGATCACAATACACATCTTCCTTCATAACTTCAAATCTCACATTTGTAATTTTATGCTTTCAAAGATTATGCAATAGTCTTCTCACTACCTCAATATGGATTCAGCAGCCTAACATTTCAGAAACTGTCCCCATCATCAGGGGTTTATGTGATGAATGCTTCATACATATGGTGTATTTATATAGAAAATGCTCTCAGCTGCCCTAGTGTGTACTACTGACAGAACACTGGGCAAAGACAGTCTCTCAACATTGACACAGCTAATTGCCTGGGGTGACTTCAATGCTTCATATTCAAAGAGCTTACCTAAGCCTTGTTTTTCTTTCTGAAAATGCCAGTTCCAAATGTGCTTGATCTGTTACATATTCAAATTTACTCCCAGTTTCCTTCCACTGCTTATAATGTTTATAAAGAGAATTAATTCCCTAGGCAGTGGGTGTGGTTTAACCCTTTGAAGCACAAAGTTCATCTAAATAACATAAAAATATATTTCCCACCTCAAAATGAAGACATAGTTTGTTTCCTAACACTTTCACTCCCATGAACTCTGCAACTGGCTTACCTTGTGGCCTGGCCAATTTTTTTGCACTATACTAATGGTATGGTGAAGTAAAGAAATGAACAGCAAATGATCTACTAATCTCCAAAACAGTAAAGGTGTCGCTGTGCAAAATTAAGTGACCACCACGCCATGAAGACGTGCAGGCGGAGAGGCTGTATAGCTGCTCTATAATTCTTGACCTCAGCACTAGATGGAGGTGAGTGGCCAGCTTCAAGTCCTGGCTGCTTCATCCCCAAGGAAAGAGATCATAGTACCTATTAGCTAGGAGGACAGGAGGGCTGCAGAGCTTGTCTAGATGCTGTTGAGAAGAAAAAATCTCTTGCACCTGCCAGGAATTTAACCCTGGCCATCCAGACCACAGCCCACTGCTATACTGACTGAACGATCATAACTCATCTACACATATCAAAGGAATCACAAAGAGCAGCTACATGCACATGTGAAGACCTATAGGGGCAGTACAGCATGAGATTCCAGGCTGAAAGTAACAGGTATGAATCATAATATGCAGTCATTACTATTGCTACTTAATGGTGCATTCATACTTTTTCATGCAGAACAAAATGACAAGCCACTCGTGAAACGAACATACTTAAAGGAGACTGGAACTTCCATCTCAAATAGACTTGATATTAAATAAAATACTTCATTTATGTTTGACGTAAGTTTTTAAAAAAGTTCCAGTGTAATGCCATGGCTTGAGCATCCTAGCAAATGAGGAGAAAAACGACATGCTCAAAATGCATTCTGATTTTGTGTTTTGCTTAAATGCCACCATCTATGTGCAACGTCAGTTACTAATAACTTGTTTTCCTTTACTGACACTATATGTTTCGGCCTAACCAGCCATCTTCAGGTGTACAGGTTGTTGTGGTTAAGGAATCCCCTGCTCATTGTAATGCTGTTTTCTTTCTCTTACATACTTGCCTCGGATTACTTCTGGTTATGTGGGTTAGCCGTGATGGCTGACCGCCACATAACAAACTCCCACTCCAGCAAGAACATTCAGGATAGCCACAGCCAACAAAACCTTAAGACAAGTTCAAGGACACCCACATAACCAAAACAAGACAACATTGCAGTGAGCAGCAGATTCTCTGATCACAACAACCTGTACACCTGATGATGGCTGGTTATGTGGAAACATGTAGTGTCAATAAAGAAAAATGAACGAATAGTAACTGGCATTGAACATANGGTCTAGATGCTGTTGAGAAGAAAAAATCAGACAAATATTTTTGTCTCTTTACATCCTATTACATGACCTTGGATTGGGAATGAAAATATTAATCAGATCAACTGGTTAATAGCCACTTAGTCTGAGAATCATATGAAACATGCAAATAAACTGTGTGGGGGAAATATAAACACTTTGTATGTCAGAGCAGGTGGCACATATAGCAACCATTATGCCCTTGCTTATGAGCAGCTTCTGGTTCTGCCCTTACCTGCTTTTCTTGTCTGATCTGTGCTACAGTGACTGGTGGATTCTGGGTACGTGGCGTTCCTGCCAAGGCAGCTCGCTTCTCTTCTAGCCACCTGTGAGTCTGTTCAGCAGTTTGCTGGACCTTCTGAATATCAGATTCTTCCAAGTGAGAGTACCGCTCATCTCCAGCTCTGTACTGATCCACAGCCTTTCGCGTTAGCTGCAGAACACACGCTAATTCCTCTAATGCATTTGGACGCAGTTCAAACTCCAGTCGCCTTGTTTTGATTGGCTCACCTAAATTCTGGAAATAAAAGGGATTATACTAACCCTTTTAGCAGCTGACATAAAATTCAATTTTTATTGTCTAAAATATGTTAGTTGGTTTCTAAAGCTGCACTTTGACAGTTTGAATTTGTAACTCATTTTCTATTCAGACACCATTTGGGCAAGTTACACGATCCAGCACACTTCAGTTACGTTGGGTGATTTGAAGTTGTTCCCACTAATATTCGTCAGAGGTCTAAACAGCTGTGTGACGACAGTGGCATCTAGGAGTAATGGAACTTTGTGGGAGACCAAAATGGTGTTCAATTTTTAATTCTGCCTTCACTGGTCTCTTTATCATGAGTGAAAGGTTCTTTCACACGCATAAATGCACGACACAGGATCCAAGGCTTTGCTTCCCTCTTGAAGAAGTTAAGCTATGGGTTTTTATTGCCCTTAAAAATCCATCAGCCTAGGCAGGGTCTGAACCCATGAACCTTCAGTCCAATGGCAAGCACATTACAACCAGAGGCACATTTCATCTAAAGTATGAAATACCTGTATATCAGTATCACACTCAGAACATCATGACTAATGGTTCTGTGTGGCATTCTAATCTTCAGAACAATGTAAGAACCAAGTGAAATAGCTGTCACACGGCATTGGGCATGTTTTAGACAAGAACAGCATCTTCAGTTATCTGTGCCTAAGCCTTGAAACTTGCATGAATTTGCCTGATAAAATGTACAACATGAACACAAAACAAGTGTCTAACTTAAGTGGGTAGTAATCCCATCAAGAGTAAGCACAGTCCAGCACAATACAACATTCACTGAGCACACACAAGACACACCACAGACAAGCACGAACACTCCACATACCAACAGTATGTGCTTCAAGTCACTTGGAATTTCGATAACCAGAAAATGCTTACAAAACTTTATAAAAGCATATTTTTCTGATATTTCGTTTTCATGTCATAAGACAGTTTAGGAGAGTATTAAGAAATGCACAGAGCATAATAATGTAACGTGTTTGGAGTAGGTACTTCCACGGTAGTGCAATAACAGCGAGCTGTTGCATAAAAAACGCCGAAACGACGAACAAATCTCCCCAGAGACGAACAACCAAAGACTCATTGCATTAATAGCGGACCGTCGAAATAGTAACAACAGAACCGTGAGGAATGATGTCTGGTACCCAGTCCGCATAACCCCTATATAAGCAGAGCCAGAGACGACACAGACGAGAACGAGACAATCTTGGGATAGCCGCCGCCAGAGACAGTTGAGATCAAATGATGGCCAAGGATAGTTGAGACGTCGCACTGGAGTACTGGCCAGAAGTTAAGTGATACTGCAAGCGATAATAATTGTAAGGTGTGTAAGAGTGAGTGTCCAATAAAGATTCACTAAATCCTAGACCCATGTGAAGTTATTTGTCGCGGCACGTACCCAACATGTGACAATATACTTCATGAATGAGGAATTAAAAGGGTGGGATACACACATACATACATCTCTTACCACGAGTTTCCTTTGAAGCACTGTCACTGCAGACATACCTGGGCCACTGTATGACAACAAAACACCAATGTTATCTTACCTTAAGCACATTTAATTTGTCAACATAAATTTGTCGATTACATTCTTCTCCTTCTTCATACAGCCAGTTCTCCATATTATCCAGCTGACGACAAAGGGAGTTGCGATCATTTTCGCTGACAAATGTTGCCAATTCCTCCTCACTGCTTAATTTACCTCGCACTTCATAGACATATTCTTCCAATGCATTCCGAGCATCTATACGTTCCTTTTCTTGTCGATCACTTGCAACCATTTTACACTAGAATTAATAAACAGATCTGTAATAATGTTCTGTGAGAATGAACAGTATAAACACACTTTCACCAATAAATGCATGATTTAATTTAGAATGTCAATCACATGACTGCCTTAATAATTAAGCCAGTTTGTTTACAGTGAGATATGGTGCTCAGGGGTGGCACCATGCAGTCTGATAGCAAGGTACAGCATGCATTATGGAAGGGAATGTGTTCTTGAAAAGTGACCACATTATGAAATTGTACTTCTCTGATGGTCACTAAGTTACAAATGTAGATGTGTTCCTAAGGAAATCCTTTTGGCCCACAGACCTATTACAATTATTTACCAAATATAAATAATAGTTGCTACACAATTCTATATGTATAATATAAGCTCCGTCATAAAGGTAACTCTTTATCGTAGTTCTTGTCCCCCATCTTTCACACTACACGTTTCGGCCGTAATCAGCCATCATCAGGTGTATTTCACTTCACGTAGCTGTCACACTGCACTCAATATTAACATTTAAATTCCAGATTTACAATTGTTCATTTTCTGTCGTCAATCGGCACCCGATATTCCAAAACTCTCCTTGTCGATTTTGTCAGTCGTGTTTTATGAATATTCACATGTCGATTGGTTTAAAATTATAAATTCTCATTTAGCTTTAAAAACCAAAATGACAGATACCTGCTCTATGCTTATATGTGCTGGAACGGCTACCTCTTGCTTTCAGCACAATTCACGTGTTATTTTGTGCAGGTTCTCTGTGTGCGTGCCACTGCTTTTCTTTAATACAATTGACGACAGAGCAATGAACAAATGAAATCTGGGGTTTAAATGTTAATATTGAGTGCAGTGTGACAGCTATGTGAATTGAAATACACCTGATGATGGCCGGTTGCGGCCGAAACATGTCCTGTGAAAGAAGGGGGACAAGAACTACAATAGTGTGTTACATTTACGGTGGAGTTTATATTATACATATAGAAGTGTGGAATGTAACAGGATGCTTAAATATAATATAGCTACACGATTCATTTTCCCTATAATACAGAATGGATTATCACAACACAAGAACCTAGTTTTGTGAAGTTATGTCAATGGGCTGAAAAGGTGAGAGGGACAGAAAATAACTCACAAAAACACAGTGAACTTGTAAGGTCACTTTCCTCTTTAAGGAAGTAAAGTAGGTTAAGAGTTGTGCGGCAGATTATTCATGAAAGTGTTGCTGTCCTTCTTCTTGGTATGTGAACCAGTTTGAGCACAGGGCTCTCATAAACGCATACACTTTCAAATCCTGCTGACACAGGCAGCAGGGAAGGATATGAAGAAGCTGTTCTACTTCCAAAGATCTTGAGATTCACATGATATTACAAAAAAATGAGGATGTGCACATGCGCTCTGGTTGGGATTCAAATCCATGACCCCAGAGTCTGGACAGCCCAAACCCTAATGAAGAACAGAAACTGGTAAAGGCATAATATGAACAAGAACATACACATACAACAACACCTGCCTTGCATAGAGACCGATGGTGGTACATGTATCACCGTAAATTTTAAGATCGTACAGAAAAAAAAAACACACCTGTTATATCAACATAGAATTTTCACTGTTCAGCAGCTCAAAGCTTATAGTTTGATGCAAAACTAACTAACTTACTTGCAATAGCGTTTGATGCAAAACTACTTGCAACAGCATTGTGAAGTGGTGCTATCTACAAGCACTGCATTTACTATGCCTCAGTTTTTTAAAATTCTGCAGATGAATGCTGCTACTCCAGCTTTACTTGTTGAAAACATAAGTCGAGGGTCAAGGAGAGGTCACATAATGTTCTATGAATATTCTGCCAATATTTGTGCCATCTATATTGCTCCATGTTTAAATGTCAATACCTTTTAACTCTTTATTCTGCATGTCAGCGCAATATTTTCCCAGTATGTGCTAAATTCCACAATTTGCATGCCAGAATTGAAGAAATTATGATTTTGTGTGTTCCATTAAACCCTCCAGTAGATGAGAAAGGGGCATTTAAACGGCAACGGCTATCTGTACACAAGGACCATTACAAACAGGATGACCCAGCAGCACAAGATGATGAAAGGATGTGCCAAGAACTGATCAGTCATGTCAGCCCAGAGAAAAAACTTCTGTGCACGAATCCTGTCCACATTTTCCTTGAGCTGTTTTGCCACAGAGTAGTGCTTGGCCTGCAGGAAGTAAAGTGCAGTGAAGGTGGCCATATGGTGGGACAGTACAGCACAGTGCTGCTTCTGGACTCAACACATTTCCCTGTTTCCCTCCAGCAATCTAAATATTCAGCTCACAACAAACGTTGGTAGTGATAATGTTTGCTGATGACAAGCACTTCAGGCTGGCTAACATACCTTGGAGGGGCCTCAAAAGGTGGAACCATCACCTTCACCATGGATGGGACTTCCTTCTGTGGCCTCGGTATAGTTAAGATGGGCATTACTCTTGTACTCACCTCCAGTTCAATGTAGTTATTCAATTCTGCTTGAGAATATCCATGAGTATATGCCTCAATTGGAAGTTCCACTGTTTTCACCAGCTGCTTCTTCTTTCTTGTTCCATCCTTTTTCTCTGAAGCGGTCTGGTTTTCTGTATCATCCTGCAAAAAGAAAACCATAATCAGCCTTATCCATCATTAAGGGGCTACATTTCACAAGATGTGACACACAGATCGGCATCCACAAGGGTGTGATTAGCTCATACTTATTACTTATATGTAAATGTTAAGTTGTCCCCATGCTTAATTAAGCACTATGCAATAAAAGTATATGGGGGAGTGGAGGCATAGCTCCAGTATTCTTGACCTCAGCACCAGATGGAAGTGGTCAGCTTCAAACCCTGACTGCTTTACTCCCGGCGAAAGCGCCCCTGGTACCCAATGGAGAGGAGGCTAGGTGGGCCCCTGAACCAGTCTGGACACTGCGGATTAGAGAAAAATATGCCCCCACCAGGAATTGAACCCCAGCTGTCCAGCCCATTGCTATACCAAAATATGAAGGCTCCTTGCACACAGATGTACAAAACATTAATAACGGGCAGATCCTCTATTTCCCCATGCAGTCACAAGACCAACTGGGCTATTTAACCCAGTGACTAACCTCATTTTATTCCCACTAATAACTGAAGCTCAGTGTCTGCACTTGTCTCATCATGTCAGAAGTGCTTCTTCACTGATCCAGTGGAAATCATTTGGGGTGAGGTATGGGCTGACAGACAGACAGACATTGCCATCCGTCTGCACTTTTGGACGTAATGGGTACTCTCCATTTTCAGTTCCTGGACTCCAGGGCAAAAGTGAAGGCACATGTGTGACATGACAATGGCAGAAGCTGATGTGCACCGGTGGGAGCAACATTTAGTTCATTTTCATTTATCTTTGTATGCTATTAGGTACAAATTAAGAAACAGGAAAATGGAAAAGTACCATTTTTATATACATACTAAGTTATCATGGAAGCAATCAATTGAATGTTAGAATTCCTGCTTCTTAGTCAGGAGTCCAAAGTTCATATATCAGCCTGGAGACACGTTGTACAGTTCCATTTTTGCAGCTCTCCTCAGTCCATCAAGAAAAATGCAAGGAATATACCTCATAATGGGCTATGACACACCACCAGAACTCGAAATCATATGTAACTAGTTTTATATTCCTGGATGGACAAAGAAATTACTGTTATGTATACAGTTATCCCTGTAAAGTAAACGGTGCTGTTGTCTAATCCCAGCATTTTATGGAACCCAAAGGTTCATTACCGTGTTCACAAGTTCCCTCCACTGGTCACTTTCCTGAGCCAGATCAATCCAATCCATATCATCCCATCCGATCTCCCTAAGATCCATTTTATTATTGTCCTCCCACATACGCCTTTGTCTTCCCAGTGGTCTCTTTCCTTCTGGCTTTCCCACCAATATCCTATATGCATTCCTCGTCTCCACATTCGCGCTACATGCCCTGTCCACCTCATCCTCCTTGACTTGATCATTCTAATTATACTTGGAGAAGAGTACAAGTTATGAAGCTCCTCATTACGCAGTTTCCTCCAACCTCCTGTCACTTCACCCCTCTTCAGTCCAAATATTCTCCTCAACACCCTGTTCTCAAACACCCTCAGTCTATGTTCCTCCCTTAATGTCAGAGACCAAGTTTCACACCCATACAGAATCACAGGCAAAATTATAATTTTCTATATTCTAATTTTTATGTTTTTGGACAGCAGATGAGACGACAAAAGGTTCTCAACTGAATGGCAGCAAGCATTACCCAAGCATGACCTAATCCTTCCGGCAGTACTATGGCCCTGGGGTTCACTCAGCCTCTAACAGAAATGAGTACCAGGAATTAAATAAATAATTTTCCTGGGGAGTAGAGCGCGGCCGGCACATAAGGCTGACAATCTTACCGCCATCTCTGAGCCGATTGTCTAGATAGTGTGGGACCCTTAACGTCTCAGAACCTTATGGGCCTTCATGGCCTGTTACAGGGACAGCTTTACTTTTTTACTTGGAAGTCAACAGACGGCAAAGCTGAAAATCAGAGAGATAATTTACTTACAGATAGAAGACATTTATCAAATTTGATGGATGTTGGGTTGTACAGAGGGGCTAATAATGAATCAGATCACTACCTAGTAGGAATAATGCTACGGGCCAGAATACCCAATGCTAAAAGAAGCACATTCAAAAAAGAGGAGAATTAATGTGGAACATTTGAAAATAGAGGGTAAAACTAGAGATTTTAAAGAAATGATAAAATTGTGTATATATGAATGTGAGTAGTGGCAAAATTGTAAAGTAACATTGAAAGAAATCTCTGAGGAAGTGCTGGGATTTCATGAGAGAGAAATCAGACACAAATGGTATGACGGTGAATGTGCAGAAGCCGTAAAGGAGTAATATGCCCAATATACAAAAAAGGTGATCCTCTAGGGTGTAAGAATTATAGAGGTATTAACATTGGCAAATGTGGGATGCAAGACTTTCCCAAAGGTCCTTTCCAGGAAACTAGAGCCAGTTGCTAAGGTAAATGTCAGAAAATACCAGTGTGGATTCATAGCCAGTAAATCAACAAGTGACCAAGTTCTTACCTTGAGACAAATAATTAAGAAAGTTCAGAATATGGGTTTAAAACATATTTATTTACTGATTTTAAGCAGTCTATCACTCCATTAACACGCAAAGTCTTTTATCTGGCCATCAGGGACATGGGGACTCCTCATAAACTTATTAGACTGACAAAATTAACAATGACAAATAATTGTGCCATGGTGAAATTAAGGAATGTATTATCCAGACAGTTTGATATTAGAGTAGGGATTAGACAAGGCAACTCACTAGCATGTCTTCTATTTAACATAAGTTTAGAAAAAGTATTAAGAGATCCTGCAGTGGAAACCAGGGGTACAATATTTAATAAATCAGTACAAATACTGGCATATGCAGATGATAAATTTATATATCTGGGAACTCTAATAAACTGTAAAAATGATTTAGAAAAAAATAAATGCAGAATTATAATAGGAAATAGGTGTTATTGCAGCACGTCAAAAATGATGAAATCTCAATCAGAAAGAGGAAAACTAAATGTCAACGGTACAAAACTATTAACTTCCAACAGTGCTCTATGGATCCAAGAGCTGGACTCTGAACAAGGCTAATGAAGCACTTCTTGGAGGTTATGAGAGAAAGATTTTTAGGAGAATCTGCTGAGCAGTAGTTAAGCTCTGGCGAAGACATTACATACAATAAGAAATTATATGGTCTATGTAATGTTGATATAATTAAAAGAATTAAAATAAATAGACTGAGATGGGTAGGACATGTTATAAGGAGAGAAAATAAAGAAATTATATAAAGATTAATGACTGTAAACTACAAGGGAAAAGGAATAAAGATAGACCAAGAATGGGATGGATGGATGGATGGTGTGGAGGATAATGAGGAACCTGGGTGTAATTAATTGGAGAGCAAAGGCACAAGAGAGGGATGGCTGGAGAAAAGATTTTAGAGCAGGTCAAGACCCATAAAGGGTTGTAGTGCCAACAACAAAAAAACACCACCACACCATAGTCAGAACCCTTTAAAATTTACTAGTACTTCTTCTGTTTACTGTTCATTATGGTGTCTAAGAGGAGCAAACTTATAATTAGCAAAAACATTAATATTAGTAGTTCAACGTAATTACTGAATAACCACTCCCCTAAAAATTCATTAAAGAGGGGCACCATCTTACTTCAACTGTGTTTCTCATCAACTGTACCCACCTATGTTTACAAGTACACTGGCCCACTGACGGATCTCCCAAGCTCGATGCAAGAACGTGTACATATACATATTTCTCACCTCATTACCGATGTGATTTGCCTGCGAGTTCTCGGTCTGTCCCTGCTGCTGCTGGTTCGCTGACCCATTCACTTCATTCTTTTGAGCCTCAGTATCCATTGCCTCAGGTCCCGCATTGTCCTGTTCATTTGTATCCTGCTCTGAAGCATCCTGTTTCAGGACTAATGATGCACTGCTGATCGTCAGGATTCCATGTAAGTTCACACGTACTTTCACCTTTACTTTCACGCTTTCACCCTCTGGTGAAGGCTTCACATCTTTCACAACAAACTGGCCTAAATATCAGAAAACAAAATACCCCCATAATACAAATCAGAAGCATTTATTACAAATTCCAAAGTAAATTGTACGACAGGACCAGCTGGTCAGCTGAGTGGGAACCTTTCAATACTTTAGATATACAGTAGTAATGAATTTGTCTTCATATAGGTCCATCTGGTGAGGAACAGGACTTAAACATAGATATTAACCATAAATGTCAGTCATAAGTTTTCTAATACTCCTTCTGGGGTGTTAACTGTCTTCCTATATTTTGAGGTGTCAGGGAATGTGGCTGCAGATTAAAATGGTGAAGACTTCAGCTAAGTATGGTACTGACCATTCCATGTGTACTGGTTTTAATGACTCCAAAAAACACATGTTGCGCTAGGTGTTAACACACTGATCTACTCTTCACTTCTGAAGGAAGTGTATACAAACTACTGGTAAGTGCATGGTAGTACAAATGTAAATAATAAAATAAATGTATACAGTAAAATAAGTTGAAAGTTACATAGCTATGCTGGTTCAATGCATTAGCACACACAGTACACAATCAAAAGCAAGTGTCCCACACAACGAAGTGCGGGAGTATTGTTTACCACCTCTCAAACACCATGGAATTAGCTGTATATTCTTGTCATCTGGGTTATGACACAGCATAGCCTGGTAGGTGGTTAGTAAGGTTTCAGAGGAACCCGTTGCCTTCATCTTCAGGGTCCATTAAGATGGGAGGCCACATGTCCACCTAGAAGTGTCTACAATACTATGCGGCACCATAGTCCATAACACCAATTCTAAACTAGCAGAGCCATAAAAGTAACAACACGAACATACATTCACCATGCAATAACAACGTCAGCAGCATGAACATTTTGTATATTTGTATTAAGGACATATGGGGAACATGAAGTGTAGCTCCACCATTCTTAACTCCAGCACCACATGGGGGTGAGTGCTGAGCTTAAAGTCCCTTACCCCTAGTGAAATATCCCCCAGTACATAGTGCATAAGAGGCTGGGTGGGCCCCACAACCCATCTTGATGGTATGGTGAAGAGAAATATCTTCTGCGCCTGCCCAGATTCAAAACCCAATTCCTTTGTCATGCATCCCATAGCTAAATCGCTATACCAACTGACCTATCCACTAATGCAGATTAAAGTGGGGAGCACAGGTTGAGAGAACAGGTACACACACACATACCCAAGAGGCCCAACAGTATAACACACGCAGTCACGGGAGCAAGATATAACAAAAGCACAACACACACAAGACAGTGAAGGAGTGCTCCAACAGAGGAGAATGAGCGTGACTGGCGTAGTGAGGGGCGACATAGCGGTGTGGTATCCTGAACAATTTTAATATTTTTAACGTTTGACAATGTATATGATAGATACATATTTTGATTATTTTAATATGAGAACAAGGCATGCAATGAACTGGTTTGGCGTGGATAAGTAAGCACCTGAAGATGGCATTGTTATGCCGAAACATGTAGTGCGAGGGAGATAAGGAGATAAATGAGTGTATGCACTGCAAGACGGTTTAAATAAATCATGGACTTAAATCAGTGCAACAGGACGCTAAAATATAACATTAGGTACCATAGCATTACCCCAGTAAGCATACTATTACAGACCTCAACAAAGAAGAGAAGTGGGAAGACATTTGAAAAGAGGGCAGATCAATTCTGAGTTCCAGAACCTATCACAATTACAGAACCGTTGGTCTGATCATAGCTGTTAAGAAATGTACCCGTCATTCCCAGCATTGTGAAAATCACAACAGCGGTTTTAACGGATGGTACCCAAGCAAAAGCTTGTACATTCTAATGCAATTATTATAAAGATCTGAAGTGATATTATACTTACCAATGTAAGGATCAGGGTAAGGAATGTTACCAGCATAAAATGCTTTCATTGAAAATGGTTCCTTGCGGAAGAAAGTAAGCATTTTTGAGAATGGAACAGCATGGTTCTGAGAAAACACCTCCATCTCACTGTAAACAGAGGATATGTTCGATGATTAATTCTAACAGTCTAAATGAGAGATGATCATGTACTGTAAGTTAGCACAAACACACCCAAAACCGAAACATGTGCATTTGGCAAATACGACTGAACATTACATACTGCACATCTCCACATCCAATGTATACTTCTGCCCAAGAACCTACCAGAAGATACAGATATGCTAGCAACACCATTTCATGTTAAGGTAGCAGAAATTTGGGTGCCGATGCATATCTGAAAAGAATGCAATTTGCACTGATTGTTTTGGATTTTTCCCTAGCTAGGGCATTCCAGCTAGTTTGCTGCAAAACTGCATATAACATATTTTTATAAAAGTTACACAAATAATCATTAGGTGGCGTCACGTATTTGACAAAAGCAATGAAATGATCACTGCAGTTATCTGACCACAGAAACAAGCCTTCAGTAAGGCAAAGTTGTCCTTGTGCTTGATCAATCAACATGCCATTACGACCTATTAGGCAGTGGAGGTGTAACATTCTTACTGTCAGCGCTAGGTGGAAGTGAGCAGTAAAGCTTCATGTCCTCACAACTTTACTGCCAGTACCTTGACAGGAGGCTGGCTAAGTGATCTGAGGTAGTCTGAACAGAGCAGGTTGGGTAGTCTCTGTTCTTGCTGATCATGAAGGAACACCCTCAACAAGGGCCATTGTTAATCACTGCCTATGAAGCAGTGCAGTGTGCAAAATGTGCTTAGACAGTTAATGTGTGGTAACTATGACAGGGAAGCCAAAATAAACATATAGTGGTGAATGAGATACAAACCCATCTTCCCCCATAGAAGCATCCCAAACAAGTTTGATGGGATAATTCTGGATATCTGTGATGCTGAACTCTCGAACTCTAATGGCTGGTGACAGCATAGCACACTGCAATGCACACCCTCTCGATACAGCTTCATCCTGGTTTAGTGTTGTACTCGGCTGTTTCCCAAACACGACTTCAATAACATGTTTGATAGCAGGTATGCGGCTTGAACCTCCTACAATCTCCACAGCATGTATTTCTTCAAGATGCAGCTCTGTTATAAAAGGAAGACAAAATATGAATAAACAGCTTCTCGCTACTGGTACAGATTAAACAGTTGAACATTCCTTAACTCGCATTTTCTCACACTGCGAGCTGAACAACACACTCACCAACATGACACCAAGCTCTCAAGAATTATTTAAAATATAGCTGTACTTGTTCATAGTTTTGGGATGAGGTTTAATAACTATA